TTATTCGAAATTAACATTGAAAATAGCTTTTTGAGCTATATGGTACTGGATTCTCGATATATTTCACATTAACAATCATTACAATGAAGAAGACAGATGAATCGAAGAACTTAGATAATGTTTGAATTAACTCAATTGGGTAATGTTAAATGGCGTTATTATTACATATCGTTGCTTTAAGAAATCAAACTCAAAATTATTGGGCAACTGTAATTAAATTTCCGCGTGGTCGAGGCCCTGTGCCCGTCTCTTCTGTCTTTTTATATCTTTTAATGAAATGAATACAGTTAGTTAAGGAAGTTTATTAAAAGTATTTGAGACGTTCAATTATTGATGACAAAAAAAAATCATGAAAATAAATGGGTATGGAATTTCATACAGATTAGTTCCAGCAAACGCTATGTACTATGATAATTTTTAACAAAAATATTCCGAAAAAGAGTTTGAAAGCAAATACAATGAGTGAGTAAAACATATGTACAAAATTGTTAATTATTTAATATATTTATAAATATCGTTTCCCTAAATGTACTTGTCATTTATTTATTATAACAGATTTTTATACAAAGAATAAAATAATTCTATTAACAATATTTGCTATAAAATTTTTAACAGACCTTCTCTCAAGATAAAATCTTGCGATTCCGTAGATAGAACGAAAAAGTGAACAAAAAAAGTATCCGAGACCAAGAGCACTTTGTTGTGTTGTCACTGATTGAAGATTCGTCCGTCCAGTATACATAAGACTTCTCTTATATCAATGACAAGAGTATAAATAATACATCGATATCGGATGTTTTAAGAAAATATGCCAAAATGTCAAAATGAATTTTCAAAAATTGTAGCATCGGATTACATTAGTATCTCTAATAAAGATAAAATAAGAGTAAGCGTAGAAAATTGTTTGATATCAATTGGCTTGATAACAACTAACGATATTATCGTTAGCCATGTCATGATAAAATACACAAAAATCACCATGTACAACCAAGAAAATCACAAATCAGACTTAAACTAATCATATTAATAATTAAAGAAGAAAGTAGTTCGTAATTTGTTAATGACTTTGCATGTCTAAAGTGCCTCTCATTGCAAACATTAAGAAAAATTATATTACATAAATAATAATAAATATTTACATTAATTTGCAATGAAATACACTATGCACATTATTAGGATAAATGCGGTTGGCATTATGATTACTTTTGGGGTTAATTAAATGCGGTCGCGGCGATTTCTTGCCTGTAAACGCAATTGTTTGTGTAGGTAACGTAATTATTACGCCGCAAAGGTGCAGCGCCATCAGGTGTATAGCTGCGCATCGATCCAGCGAAAATATAAATACCGAGAACTTAAAGTTTATCAACCTTGATCAATGAAATCTAACTGACTTCAACGATCTATTCATCATTCTTCTCTCCAGGAAGATATATTTGATCATATCTCGATTATATCATTGTTAGAGTCGTTTGAGATAGATAAATTTTTCATTGCCTTTCAACTACTTATTAGGCGTGAAAGCTCCCGTGTATGATGATATCAACAAATTTGCCAAATAAGAAGTGCATCGTTATTCTATTTACTTATTTTAATTTCTTTTTGTCGATCATTAATTTCCATGAATAACTGTTAGAGTTAAATGCAAAACAATGCCAAAATAATGGGAATTTTTTTTTTTATTTTTTCTTTTTTTTTTTTTATTTCATCAAAAAGAGATGAAAGTCTTTCGACGAAGGAAATTGTTTTCTCATTTTGCTTCTTTTATTCCTTATTACTAGTTCTAAAATGTTTGTCCCAGCAAATTTCATTTAGAGCTATCCGTACCAACGGCGAGAAGGAAATGGATACGCGTAATTATTAGAGCACGAAGAATAACTTTGTTACAAAGTTACAAATCGAAATATAAGAAATAATGTAGGGCTTGATACATTATCCTATATACGGGAATGATGATAAATTTGAAACATTTATCATCAAATTGTTAAATTAAAAAGTATTCCGAAGAAAAAAAAAAAGAAAAAAAATTGCCACCGAAATGAAATCAATGAAGCATTGAAAGAAACGATTTTCTAGCATTGTTTTTGAAAGAAAATTATGAACAAATCTTAATATAGATGCACGATATAAGAATTTACTAAAATACTTTATTTGATTTATTGAAATAGGTATTTCGCGGACAGGGATTGTCGTCACAAATTTTACGCTTACAGTTTTTGTTTTGTTTTTTGTTTTGTTTTGTTTTGTTTTTTTCTTTTACACTACAATGTAACAACATACATTATTCATGTATTACACAATAAAATCGATGGTATTTCCTGTCTTAAAGCACTCCGAGTTTTTATTTAAAAAATTCAACTAATCTTTTTTATAAGTTATAAACTTATTTTAAAGACGGACGGACTGCAAAATGATGTTATAAACTTTAATGCAGAAATAACGTATCTCTGTACTCTTTTAATTTTTTAACATTATATTATATTTAAAAATTATTGTTTACGATATTAATACGTTTTTTTTTTTCTAGTAAAAATCAAGCTTTTAATGATGTACTGACCTTCGTTTATCAGTTATTTTACTATTTATTAGATTACACGAGATAACGTAATGTATATATTTTTCTTCCTTATTCAGCTGTCGCATCACTCTATATAAAGCAGTATCTATGAAAGCATAAAGAAGAGCCGATAAGTTTTTTTTTGTTTTTTTTTGTTTAAATTTAATGAAAATAGTTTCTTTAGTCTTTTGTTCCGAGTGTTTCTTTTAAAATATATTAATGTTATATGATAAGATATGTCCGCGGTAATACCTTTTATAATAAATTAAATTCTTATCAACGAGAAATTAAGATTATGCAAAAATATTAATGGAGCACAATCATCGATCGTGTCTTAAAACTTAAAAATATTAAATTACAAAAGGAATTATGAGTAAAGTTGTTGTTGTTGTTGTTGTTGTTGTTGTTGTTGTTGTTGTTGTTATAAATATATATATATATATATATATATATATATATATATAAATCAACTAAATATTATTTACCATTTACAATTCATATACAAGACTTGTACTCACCACTCGTCAACAATCGACACAAACCTCGATCTTTCCTTCATTCTTTCATCGAATTTGCTTATTTCTTGTAATATGTAAATAGACCATTGATTTACATGGCACGCCAATTGTTGCGAAACAATTGACTCCCGACTTATCCGTAGTATCGATGCATTGCTACCAGTCGCATACTATGAACAAAGACTGCGAATATAGTCCACTCCCATCTGCCTTCCGAGCTCAATAAAATTCCAACAGCATTCGTGGGCTAGCATTGCTAAAATTATTCTAGCGATCATTTCAATGCCTTTAGTTGTTGGTAAACTTGCAAAAAATTCGCTCACAGTGTTTACCGACTGCAAGCTTGGAAGATCGTTGAGAACTCAGCCACTGCATGCAGTTAATACGTAGCCGTAAGATCCGCGCACGCGCGAACGCTTTCAGCATTGGCATTATTCACTCCGATTCCTCTCCTAGCTTTAGCTTTACAATTACACGCGGCAATTTTCAAACCAAATCCGAAAGATCAAATGGACATGCTGAAGGGCTAAGAATTTTATAAATAAAAAATATTAAAGGTCATTATTACTTTGGATTACGCGAATTGTACAATTAAAATATTCCTGGTATTTTGTAATTCGCAATTCGGTTGGAATGCGCGCATTATATATTTTTATTAGCTTCTCCAGGATGTCCTTGTAGCGCGAGGCTGTGTGGTTAACAAGGCTGTTGTATTTAAGCGTAACTTTAACGAGAGCCAAGAGTCTAATAATTACTACGTCTTGCGCTATTGAGGATGAAGGAGTCTTTCCTTATTAAAATTCAACGGAACTTTAACTTATTCACGAATTTATCGAGGCCCTAAGCATATCGAGCATTATAAAATAAATATTGATGACTGATTCAATTTGCACTTTAGTGGGTATATTCGAAGGTGCTCGAGATTTCTGGTAAATATTGCCTATACCAACGCTAAGATACCAGGGAGAGCATTTTTTCTTTTCTACGGCGATGCCATCTTCAACAACAACTTTATAATAATAAAAAAAAAAATAATAATAAACAAAAAAACAAAAAAAAAACAAAAAAAAACAAAAAAAAACCATTTTCAAACTTTACACGTTATAATACTAATGCACGTGCACTCTTCTCTCAGCGTTGTAGCGACGCCGAGAGCAAACGCGTCTATCGAAAATGATGCCACATTTGGAGGAGATATTGGCACACACGTGTAACGGGCGATGCACTCCTTAAATTCATCCTTCGAAGGTACGACGACACGACACGACACGAACTTTTGCATATCAACTGGAGAATTGATATCTTTGGAAGAGAAGAAATCAATTAATCTATGAATAGCGAGCACTGTATCCGAAGTCTCTTGTGGGACATTGAAACTTGTTGATTTCATCGGATAGCCGCTCACCTAGCGAGTTTTTGATTCTGTTACATAGGAAGGTCTTGCTTCCATTAAAAGCCAAAATGAGAGTTATGCCAACGTTGAACACAACTTTACGTTAAGCATGCTTTGTAAGCGTCTATTATAAAAAAAAAAAAAAAAAAAAAAAAAAAAAAAAAAAAAATTCGCACATCCTTACGATATGGCAGACAGGTATTTAATCATCGACGCTCGAGGGTCGGATAAATTTGGAGTACGAGATAAATCTTCGGATATGGATTACTCGCGTATCCTTATTATTAAGCACATAATTGTAGAAAGGAATACGTAAATCTGAGCAGCTGGTTCATGCTAGCTCATATGCCTAGCCACACACGAGAGTACACGCGCACACCACCACGAAGTTTATAACAATTCTAGGTGACGGGGTATCCGTATATATAGCTAAGTTATGAAATTACGTATTCCTATTCTTGAGTTGTTTGGTGTTCGCCGGTGACGGCGACAAATACGGATTATTTTTTTGCAGGACGCACTCGAAACTCGACCGATGGCAAACACGTTCGCATTTTCATCTCCTGCATGGATGCAGACGTGCCCCAACCTCTTAGATATGTGGATCAAGATTATACAAATTATTCTCATTATCATGAATATATGTATAGTTGACTACAATCGGATATAACAATCATTGTAAATAGTCCGTATTTTGCTGTCAGCGGTTCGCAGTCGCAGTTTGTATAGGTCCCCCCGTCTTTGCATTATCCTTGCATGAATTCGCCTCTCTCTCTCTCTCTCTCTCTCTCTTTCTGTATGTGCATACTTGAACTTGCGCGGGAGCTAGGTAACGGAGGCCTCACTCAACATTGCCCTTTACAGAATCGAGTCAAGATTAAAGCCAGAATCAAGAGAGTTGAGGAGTTCTTGGGGATTGAAATTTGATGCGTCGCCCGATTGCAGATTGTCCAAAAAGTCGAAACCTAGGTCAGTGGCATTGACCGACGAATCCGTTTGCTGCTGTTGTTGTTGCGGTTGCGGAGGCGGTTGAACCTGCGTCTGTAATGCGCCGCGCGCACTTGGATTACCCGTGCCGTACTGTTGGTGGGGGTGCATCGGAGTACCTGCGAAGCCCGTAAGAAAATATGCCACGATTGTAACAACATTTATCACTGTACTCGCATTAATTAATTCAAGGATAGGTTGAGTTATATTTTCTACAAACATATTATATAGCAATTAATTTGCCGATCAACGCGACTCCTGCGATCAACCGAGCGTTCCGACAATTTATATTGTAAAAAAATTATTTTTTTCTCTACTATAATTGACAATTACAATTATATCGACTGTCCCGAATGTTGAATAATTGCATTGAAAAATTATTCAATATCACCAGGTAAAAACAGAAAACAAAAAACAAAAAACAAAAACAAAAATAAACCAAAAACCTTTATGTCTAATTTATTTAATTACTTTCTTTTTTTTAACAATGCTTTTTTTACGAGAAAAAAAAAAAAAAAAAAAAAAAAATTAATAATAATAATTCGCAGATTAGGAATATAATGTACAAGATTCTTAAATGGAAAGTTGAAAAATAATTCGAGCACCTTTATAGGCGCCTTAACAAATGGAAAAGGTAAAAATACTCGAATAATGTCATGTCGGGGGAAATTGGCGAGAAATTTCAATGGAACGAAATAAGTGGTCAATTTACCAGTTCCAGCACCCGAAGCAACGACAACCGTACTAACGGATTGTGTTTGCGACATTTGCAATTGCATTCCCATTTGATTATTAGCTTGCTGTTGCTGCTGGTGTTGTTGTTGCTGTTGCGACACGACAATTTGTTGCTGTAATGCAGCATTTGTCATCCCGGCACCAGTCATTACTCCACCACCTTGGGAACGCAACAATTGTTGATGCTGCATTTGTGCCGCGCTCATTTGAATCCCACCTCCACCACCCATTCCAAAGCCGCCTATAAAAATCACACATTTATTTTACCTCCCTCTCCAATCTTCCATCCAACTTAAGCATTATTATTAATAGTGATCACTTTATGCATAAACCATTGCCAGCCAGCCAGTCGGCCTTATGACAAGGGGATGTGCTTTAGTTTATTTAGTCTCATTTAATCATCGTAACATCGTAACATATTCAAATTACGTTTGACTAATGCAATTGTCGATTGATGAAAATTATGCATGTGACGGTTTGCCTTATTATGGAGTTTAGTTAAATCAATGCGCTTTCCCATATATATAATTCACATAGCCACATAATTTCATAAATTATCGCTCGATAAAATCCAAAAAACTCGAATGGCACAAGATTTCGGGGATGGAAGGGTGGAGGGGGGGGGGGGGTTAGCGGAAAATAGGAGGTGAAAAAATTAGGGAAATGGTACCGTCGTGGGCGTACCTTGATGGTGTTGTTGCTGCTGTTGCTGCATGAAAATATGCTGCCAGTTTTGGGTATTTCCGCGAGAGGCGATACCGTTGCCGAGAGTATCCGGTGGTCCGATGTTGATGTTCGGCGGCCGTTGGTTATTCGTCCTTGGATATCCCAGCCTCTGTTGCATCTGATGCATACCTCCGATTGCGCTCATACCGCCACCCGCAACCGCATTAGGACCCGGAGCGAGTCCAACACCGACCGCTCCCACGCCTCCGACGCTCCCAACGCCACCAACCGCTCCGACTCCACCGCCACCCATGTACATTGGATTGGTAGTAGCGTGCATCGCCGTTTGCTGGGCAATTTGAGGTCTCATCATCGGACCTGCAACCGGCATCGCTGGATTAAGGCGTTGTCACGAACTTCAAGCCCATCGATTTCGTTCGCCTCCTTTGATCCCAACTTACCCGATGGAGGCATTGGCTGCTGGGTAACTCGTCGCATCGTCGCCGCATTAGCGAACCTTGACTGCTGACTCATGCCGATGCCTGCGTGCATTAGCTGTGCCTGGGCCGCTTTATACTCCGGTGGCGGAGGCCTTACGATTCCGCCCCCCATACTTGCCGACATGTGTTGCTGCTGCTGATGCTGTTGTTGCTGAAGCTGCTGCTGCTGCTGCTGCTGCTGTTGCTGCTGCTGCTGTTGTTGCTGCTGCTGCTGATGCTGGTGCTGCTGCTGTTGGTGCTGTTGCTGCTGTTGCTGGTGCTGCTGCATCGCCTGCGGTTGACAAACGACCGGTACTATTAGTTTTTTTTTTTTTTTTGCGCGATAGGCCTCCCGACGAAACTAGCCGGCTTCTTACACCTTACACCTACGTGTAATAAGTGTCACTACCGAATCGATTTGCGTGGGAAACGAGGCTTGAAGTAGCTAACTAGAGTCGATCGGCCGGATTAAAGTTTACTGGATTGCGCAAAATCAATGAGAGCCGGACCTGTTGCGCGGTGAAGCGGAGTGGAGTAGGGGGCTCGCTCGACTTACCTGCTGCTGGGCACGTAGCATCTGCTGCTGCTGGAGTAGCTTGGCATGCTGCTCGGACACTTGGGTATTCGGCACCTGCTGCTGCTGCTGTTGGGCGGCCTGGGCAGCGGCCTGGGCAGCGGCCTGCTGCTGCCCTGGATGGGGGCGTTGCGTCGTCGGCGGCGGGGCCGACGGTGGGGGCTGCTGCTGCTGCTGCTGCTGCGGGGGTACCGCCCCGCCGGCCCCAGGTCCAGCCGCGGCTCGCTGCCTTAGGCTTTGCTGGGTAAAGTTTATCGTTTGAGATTGCGAGACCGTGCAGTAGGCCTCGTTAGGCCCTACGGAAACACCCTGTTGCTGTTGTTGCTGTTGCTGCTGCTGCTGCTGTTGCTGCTGTTGCTGCTGCTGTTGCTGCTGCTGCTGCTGGCTGAAGTACATACCCTGCTGGGCAGCTACGGTGACGTTGCCGGGTTTTAAGTCGCTTGTCAGCTGCATGTGCTGGCCCGCGGACACCTACAACGTTCAATTTGCATTCTTGAAATATGAAAACAGCTTCTTATGAAATTAAATATTTCAAATGTAATAGAATGCATGCTTTCCTTTATTCTTTTAATCGCTCGATTATCATCAAATTGTACACTTTGTTGATAAAAAATCATAAATTATATAAGTGATGTTTATCCTTAGATATTGTTTGGTTGTAACGTTATTTAAGCGGTTGGCTATTTATTATATGAAAATAGTAGAAAATGATCGGTTGCAATGGTTAATATATACATTTTTAAATCCTTTTGTTCCAAAATCATGAACAATTGTTCATTGGTTATTTCGTCATCAAGCGTGGTGGGTAGTGTCAAAACTTTAGTGTCACTATCAATTAAACTTATGCTCATTGCACGAAAATCTTTTCTCTTATATGCAAAATTTGAATCGTCGATTTAATTTCAATTTACAGTTTCATAACTGTTTTTATCATAAAGTATGTTAATATGGTTGAAATCAAATTTTCAAGTCTTGTGACTTAAGTGTAACTTAAAAGAAAAGAAAATTGAATTTTTTTATTTCAGCAGCAGTTGTTATACGCGTGTAAAAGACATTTTGCTACAATGAATTTCATTTCGATTCTTCGTTCACATTGAAAATAACGAAGTAGTCTGTAATCCATCTATTTTTCTCTTCTTTTTTAAGAAAGTTTTCTCAACATGTTTAATAATATTATTAAATATTTTCTATCTCTTTCAATTACTGAATGAGTGAAGCTCATTCAATTACGCTATAGTAATTAATTTTAAGATTACATTCAACGATAAATCTTAATAAACTATTGAAAATCATTATATATAAAATATAAAAAAAAAATATTATTTTTACAAGTAGACTAATACCAACTTCATTTTTATTACTAATTATATTACATAACAATTTAGCACATTTTTAGTAATAAAAATCAATAATAATCACAAACTACTTTCCGAGACAGAATTATTTATAATCAATAATAAATTATCAATAATAAAGTCTCGTTTTTGGTAAACTTTTCATACTATTAATAATTGTGCTATTAGTACTTCAATTATATAAAACTATCATATCACTACTAAATGCCTCTCTTATTACTTTTACATCTTTGAAAGACTCATAGGTTTGTTATTCAAGCAAATAAAAATAAAGAAAAAATCTAATAAACATATAAAAATATAATAAGTCATTTTAAATAGAATTTTCGTAATGAGATCTAAAAATATTAAAAGAGAAAAACATGTTAAGCAACCATATTACTTTTTTTAAACATGTCTGACATGATCCGTATATTTTCTACTTCTAATATAATATGAATATGTAAATTTTTTCCGAAAGTTCGTGATTGCGTATGTTTTTATGGTAGTTTATTCAGCCGTCTGATTGACTGACATATCTTATTTAAATTCATATTTTCTAAAAGTCTACTATTATAATAGTTTAAAAAGTTTTATGCACGAAGGTAATCTCCTTCTTAATAAGTCTTCTCTCACTGCCTAATTTCCCTAATTACAGTGGATTATAAAATTGCAAATCACAAGATCTACTTTCAACTTTCAAATTGCATTATCGTAAATTTCCATTCATCTAATTAAGAAAAACTTTTGAATATTTTCGAAATTTTCTTCAAATCTAATTGTCAAACTTAATGAATTAAACAAATTATTTTCCAGCTCAACCCTTGCATTCTTTATACCTATGCACTATTACTTGAAAAAGAAAAAAAAAAGGAATATAGCCTTCGTGACAATATTTAGGCTATTGTAACAAAAGGCCTAAAAGGCCATCGAGTGAAGGTGAGAAAAAACAGGGATAAGGGCTCTCGAATATCGATTGCTCATGGATCAAGGGCTTCGCCACGCTTCTTTTTCACTTGTCGCTCGCTGTACATACAAATACGGTGCCGTGGTCTGGAAGCGACCGGGGGTGGGGGTGGGGGGAGGAGGAGGAGGAGGAGAGAAGAATCTTAATAGTGCGCAAGTAGTTACATGATTAGAAGCAGCAATTAATTCACATGGTGGAGAGATTTCGATGGACTCTAGAAGGGAGGAATACAAATAAATGAATAGATGATTTTCCGCGTGGTTACGACACAAAAGCCAGGGTAAGGATTCGATGCCTTGCCGTTGGTGCTACCGTCTCCTTACCTCGGCATGCGCGTCTGGATTCGCCCACTTCGACTGGATCGATTCCTGTTTGCTCCTGTCGCAGTTTATGCGCCGCTTCAGCGCCTCTCGGACCCCAAAACCGATATAACTGTTCCACTCCTGCCCATTTCGGCAAATTACATGAGTTAGAGACGAGGGCACATATATAATAAAAATTCAACGGGCGCTCAATAATAAAGTCAAATATTATTCACATAATTTCGATCTATTCTTCCTTAAAAAAAATGAACCTCCCCGCTCCACCTTCTCACATCGCCACCTTCCAGTTTTTAATTCATTTTTCTACCTACTTTGTGTAGTTCCTACCTCTCTTCCTTTCTTCTTTCCTTTTTTTTCCCCCCACTTTCTTATCGCTACAACATTCATTGTAACTGAAAAATTGCTAACAACTATATTCTATTTATGTAAAATTTACATTAAATTTGCATCAATATTTATGCAAAAATCTTTAGGTAATATATTGATACATATATTTTATTACATTTTTCTGAGCAGCATTTATAAAATAATTTATTATTATTATTATTATTATTATTATTATTATTATTATTTTGTAGGTTTAACACAATAATAAATATCCATCAACTTAAATGATTCCATGAGTGTTAAATGTACATTCGTTATAATCAACGTAATTGTATTAGAATTATTCTTGTTATTACTGAATTTTTAAAATAAATTATACTAATATATATTTATATATGTTATTATTAATCCTGCATAATATTTTACGATTAATTTAAAATAATTGCTGCTGCTATAACTAAATATTCATTTTTTGAAAAGCTTCTTCAATACTATTTATATATTATATTATATATACTATTACACTATATATTATATACGATTTATATATTTTTCTTCTTTTTGTTTCCTTTTTAATATAAAATTGTACCTACGCAAAAATAAAGTAATAAGTATGCTTTCTAAAAATTTCTTCATTTATTGTTAAATATTTTTAACAATATTCATGTGTCGAGAAAAACTAAAAAGCAAATACAAGACTATAATAAGATTTACTTCATTTTTTTTTAATAAATAAATCCTATGAATAAAAAAGGGCTATTCCAGCATTTATTCGAAAAAAAAAATCTGGATTTATACAGAAGTAAAAATAAGACGAGTTGATTCGGAAGAGGGAGATAAAAGTCATGAAAATCTACTTTATACAGACGGAGGCTCGCGTTATGTGTACCAATAGCTGTCATCATAGAGGTCAACTACTTTTCTTCTAACCATATTACCGTATCTCTATCTCTTCTCTGCCGCATTCTCCTTGCACTCTCTTTTTTTACTCTCGCGCTGATGGATGTGCGCGTATAGTAAGTAGTGTATCGACCGTACTAAAGAATAGAAACTGACGATTTAATCCTGTGATGCGATAGCTATTATACTTTGAACTATTAAACTATAGAAAGGGAGCGAGTCTTCGATACAACTGCTCACTAAGTGCACCGTAGCCGAAGTGGAGATTTATTTAATTATCCTTAAATAAATAAAAAAAATAACACGAAAAAAAACATTTAGAAAAAAAAAAAAGATATATGTAATGCTCAGATTTTACAAGTCTCGAATAAGTAAATTATATACCGTCGCGTATGAGCGGGAGGCTCATTATTAATGACGACATTCAGCTTGCGTATACTCCAATTCTATCACGCACCGCCAATCGACTTGAAATTTGGTGCAGCAGCTTCTGGAGCAATGACATTCTCTAATACAGAAATAGACTTATACATAATAAATCAACCTCCAGGGCTCGTATAGTGTGATACGAAATATGTGCTGAGCAGGAGTGGAGGACCTCACCGCTACCTACATTTCGTGGCGCAGTACTAAACGCGCAAGCGCCTCTAATATTTCAGTGGCGAAAGCCATAGAACGATGGAGGCGGAGTCAGTAATCCTAATGAATGAAGGAGATGAGAAGCTACTTTTCTGTATTAACCTATCGTCCTTTAATAATAAAAGGAAAAATGTAACTTTCTTCGGAATAAGTGCTTTCGCGTAATTAAGGAAGTAACCGAGTGCTTGATCTTTAATTACCATCGATCGATTAGATTGGAAATGAGAGGAGGAGTCCTTACTGACTATTCTCGACGAAAAAATAAAGATTCTTCGAGCGAACATATTCATTTCGAGTGTAATAAAGAGGGTAAATGCGACGAGGAGGAAAAGTAATCGATTGTCAGTAGGGTAGGAAGCCTTGATTCGATACGTCAGTCAGTCTGACGTATATGTATATATGCTTGGGAGCAAGTACAACTTGATGCTTGGTGATGTAGCGGCCGCATATATTACGACAATGTTTCGATCGCTCAAGATGGTATGGTTGAAGCCATTGCGCCAACCGCTACTGCAAGGACGTATTTATTTCTCTCAAGCATCAAGTAAATTTCGCAAATTATTTTTATGATGCGCACTATCGTTTCGCACGATCGAGCGAGCATCAGTCACATTAAAATATCGGACTTTGGTGGAAAAATTAAATGGTAATTAATGCTATTGATAACATGCGTCGCGTAAAATAGATGCGAGAAATTGACGTAAAGTGACAGATTTTACAAGTCATGTATTCAAATAAAAATTCGAGTGCGCCAGCCTATCGCGAGCAACTGTTCAGTGCGAAAATATTGAACGAGGACGTACCTCGTGTTAGTTATATTTTAGAAAATGGAAAAAGCGGTTCAAGAAATTGAGGAAACCCATGGAATATCAATTTTCCCAAAAACAACAAACACATCGGCTCTAACTCGATTACAACATACAGACACGAAATTATTGTGCAGTTTTTTTTCCATAAAAAGTTATTTACAAAAATTATATA